GAAATGAAAGGTAATTTAACACCATGTTTCTGAACCTCCGTTTCCGTTTTCTTTTTTTTTTTAAACTGGAGATAATCTTCCCTGCTTTCCTGGATAGTAGACAAAAGACATTGAACCTCAAAGACAGATCCCTGTAGCATACAGGCACTTCATACACACGCTTCCTCAATGGTAGTAGGCCAGCTTAGCACGGTGTTCCACACAGAGTGGTTGTGAGATGTACACTTTGTGCAAAGGCTTTAAATCATACAATATGTTTCCCAGCTACAGTGAGTGCTGAGTAGCAAAGGAAGCCATGGAAGTTTCTTCACCCATCGATGGCTTAACTTTGAAGCACTCCTCCTTTAGGAAAAGAGGAACTTTCACCATCACTAACTCACTCACAGAACAGACTCATGAGCCAACCCAACCATATGTCAATCACGTTCATAATGCAAAGGGGACTTTGGACCGCCTAGATGATCTCACTTAACTCCATTTATGTTCCTCAAGGGAGATGGCAATGTACTGAACACTGCTCTTTCCTCCAGACTTCCACTGCATGTCATCTGAGCCTCCATCACTTGTCCCAGTAAGCTAGGACATACCACTACCCAGCCTGTGGCAGGGGATAGGAAACACTGAGTAAACGCAAGGTGTCTACATCAGAGCATCTCGCAGACAATATTTACATACTAATGCATTGTATACCATACATATTAACAATTGCACTGACGCACCAGAATGCCTGCCTTTCCAGAGTGAATATACATGAATACTCACAATGACTGTGTGATAACAAGCATGTGGAATCAGAATAAGTGGGGCCAGAGAACATGATTTGGAAAGTGCGTCCAAGGGCCTCTGACCAAGATGGCACCCTCTGCCGCACATGACTGGACATTCTCACTCATCCTCTTAGGGCTCCAGGAGTCAGTAAGACATTCCATTTCTTCTCTCCCTTGTCTTCTCCTACATGAATCTAAGCTGAAGTTTTCCCCTTGGCTACTGATGGGCCAGCCAACGGACTCAAGAGCCTGGAGTAGCTTCGGTCAGTCTCTCTCAGCATATCACTGGGGTTGAACTCTCCACCAAACGGCTCGGACCTCTCATGAATCACCCAAGCTTCTGCTTCTCCTGCAAAATAAAGCAGCATTTTGTTCCAAAGGCTGTTTGCACATAAACCAAGGGAACATACATGCAGGGTGTGTGTCTCAGACATTGCAAATGTTGAGCAGACACTGGCTTTTATCATCAATGTTCCCCTCTGTCCTCTCTCTGGAAAATCCAGGCTACAGACTGTGAATGTATTAGTACATCTACAGCAAAGCCACATCCTCAGGAAGCTGCTGTTTGTATGTATGCACATGCATGTATATATGTACATGTGCACGTCCATGTGTGTGCCTGTGTGCATGGAGAAGCCAGAGCATAACCTTGGGTATCATTCCTTAGATGATATCTACCATTTTGTTTGGAGTTTACTAAGCAGGCTGGGCTGGACACACAGCAAGCCCTGGAAATCTCCCTGTTTCTCCCTCCCCAGTGCTGGGATTACAAGCTTGTGCCTCTATGCTCAGCTTTTTACCTGGGCACTGAGGATCAAGATCAGGTACTCCTGCTTATATGGCCAGCGCTTCACCAGCTGAGCCCTCCCCCAGCCCAGATGCTGCTCATGGCCCCCAAACAAGCTCGCTTTGTGACAAGTCCCAGGCAGCAGTGGTGGATGAAAACCAGATTTCACCAGGCGTGGTGGTACACGCCTTTAATCCCGGCACTCCGAGGCAGGGGCAGGAGGTTCTCTGTGGGATCGAGTCCAGCCTGGTCTACACAGAGTTCCAGGCCAGGTGGAACTACAAGGAGACCCTGTCTCAAAAAGACAAAAAGAAAAAAAACCCAAAAGAAAAACAGAGGTTGTGCAGTTGTGTAATGTAGTCCCAAGATTATGTATGGATAATCTAAAACTGTTTCTGTGTAAACTAACACAAGCTCAGTATCGTACACAGTCAGCAAATGTAAAACCCATCACACCAACATTAGTCTCTTATTCCTACTCCTGCGCTGACCAATTCGCAAAAGTAACATTACTCCTCTTTTCTGCTCAAGGCCTTCCCCACTCTTGGGTTCTAAATCACATTTTTAAAATTGCAAAACTGTTAAAGTGTAATTAACCTGCGTTGCTTCATGGTCCTGATGCAGCAATTGCTTAAGACGTGGCTTTATAAGGAACCAAACAAGAGCAGTGATTGGCACGGGATGCTGTGAGCTTCTGGGTACTTGCCAGAGGGGCAGCGAGCCAGGCCAGCAGTGGTCGTGTTGGAATAAAAGGCCATGCTTAGTCCGAAGACACTTCTGCCTCTGTTCTTACTCTGCATGCCACTTGCCAAGTCCTTTCCAGTAACTTCTGAACAAGTGGAAGAGAAAAATGCAAAAATTGTGGAGGTAAATTAGCTATCAATTAAGTGGCTGGTTGATTTGCAGATGACTATGAAGTGCAGAGGGTGATTTTTCTCTTTTCAGTCTGAAACAGCCTGAAAGAAATTCTCTGAATGGCTTTACCAAGGCTCAATGTATTTCAGTGACTTAGAGTGTTCTAAGCTGCCAAGGCCAAGCCCTCGGAAATCTAGACATGAAAACAAGCTCATGAAAACAAGCTGGATGGACTCCTTAAAGCCTGGGGAAACCATGCTGCAGGACTGGCTGCTGCCGAGGATCCTTTTAGAAAGAATAAATATTTTTATTCATAAAATCAAATGACTTTCTTTCTTACCTTTTCTCTTCCTGTAAACCTGCAGCCCCATTGCTCCATGCTGGGCTGGAGATATAGCTCAGCAGTAGAGTGATAGTGTGTTTGCATGTATACGGTCTGAGTTCAGACCCCAACCCTGAAAACAGAAAGAAAATGCAGCAATAATGACATGTCTACTGTTTACTGTATGGATATTTCTTTGCAAAAAAAATGAGCAGAAGACAGCATAGAGATGGGATGTTATAAGGAACTAAAAACTAGTACATTCTACAACCAGATTTCCTAGTACTGCTTATTAACTTTTGGAAGCATTATTTTAAACAACCTATAGCATTTCTCCATGGTTTTACAGTGTAAAAGTCAGGGCAGATTTTTTGAAGTGTGTTGCAACTTCATAAAAGGATCATTCTTGCTACTCTTTTTTTCTTGGTATTTTATGATGGTAATAGTAGCTCTGAGTTCATATCTAGAGTGTTTCGAGTTTTTATTCTATATGAGTTACTGTTCTAACCTTTTCACATTAACCCTGCAAGGAGAAAACTATTTTTTCCATTTCAAAGGCAAAAGCAAATTTTAAGTCAGTTAAGTGATGTATCCAAGTACTCAGAGTCAATCCATGACAGAGCTAAGATTTGCCCAGACTGTCTGATTTCTGTCCTGTGTTGCCTACAAAGTGCAGGATAGTCACAGGCTGCATAGGGTTTAATGGCATGTCAACACCCCCCTGGAAACTTCATTTCTGAGTGGAAGTAGGCCCCTTCAAAAGCATTATCTTAGGGAATAAAATGCTACTCTTACCCCAAACATATGTGGAGCACTTTTGAAATTATTGGTTCTCATTTGGGAGGCATCATGGAGAATAAGGGCCTGAACTGTCACTTGCTTTAGGTTCTTGGTGCCTCCATTTCTTCATGGGGCTGATTAAACCTTCTTCCAATGGTGAAAGTGGATTTAAAAAGGAGCAGGAGGAGGAGGAGGAAGAGGGGGAAGGGAGGGGGAGGAGGAAGAGGAGGAGGAGGAGAAAGAGGAGGAGGGCAGGGGAGGGGAGGAGAGGAAGGAGGAGGAGGAGGAGGAGGAGGAGGGGGAGGGGGGGCTGGGGCGGAGGAGGCTGGTTATGTAGTTCTGTTGTAGAGTATCTGTCTAGTATGCCTGAGGCCCTGGGAGGAGGAGGGGAACTAGGTAGTACTGGAGTTTTATAAAAACAAGAAGGTAGGCTCCTAACTGTAGCATTCTGTGCATCTTCCACCCTATAGGACTTCTATTTTTATGCATAAAAATTAGAGCACTGAATAGAGGGATTGCTTTATAGTCATTTTTTTAAGTCAACATACAAATTTCTTTTTTTTAATTATATAATATATATTTATATGTGTGTGGTGGGGTGGTAGGTGTGTGTGTACCACAGTGAGTGTGTGGTAGTCAGAGGACAACTTTCAGGAGTTGGATTACTCTATTCATCACATAGGTCCCAGAGACAGAACTCAGATCTTCAGGCTTAGTGACAAGCACCTTTACCCACTGAGCAATCTTGCCAGCCCAAAGTACAAATTTCTGTTGCTGTTGCTAAGTCTGCCAGGTTATCGGCCCTGGTTTGGACCTGTAGTAACTTAGAAAAGATTGTGAAATGTCCAGAACAATGAAAGCAAATTCACAGCAAGGACTTTTATGTGCTTATTTTGATCAGAATTACCTTAGAAAATTCTACCATTTACCAAGCAACCAATTTCGGTCTGCAAGGAAGAACACCACCATGATTGCTGAAAAGCTTAAAGAAATGCAGCGCTTTTTTGGATTGGCTGAGACAGGGAAGCCTGATGTGGGAACTCTGGAGATGATGGGAAAGCCTCGCTGTGGAGTGCCTGATACTGGAGACTTCATGTTAACCCCGGGAAACCCCAAGTGGACACACACTAACCTGACCTACAGGTAATACTTCTAGAGTTTCAGGACACATCCCCCCCAGCCAGTGACTGAGAGCTTGTGACATCTCAGACATTCTTCCGGGACTGGGGATCCATCGGGGATAACTAGACAATATCCCTGCCTTGCAGAGTGGGAGGGTGAACAGCTAATAAGCAAAGTATGGACTGGAAGCAGGCACAGAGAGTCTCTGGGTTCTTTCAGTCATCTAAAAAGACTATGGAACCATGAGACTCTTTCTAGCTACTCACTTTAAGACCAAAAAAGGCTTAATCACAGCTAGAGAGAGTCTAGACCCCCTCTGCTGTATGTCTTGGTAGCAGTAATGATAATATCCAACATTTGTAGAATGCTATTTTCCAAGGAGCAAACTAAGCGCTTCACATGTATTTAATTTTCACAACAACCTATGAGTGGGATCTTATTCTATTATCCTCATCTTATAAGTGAGGACACTGAGGTATAAATCAGGTAGCAACTCGTCCACACTGCTGTCTGCCTTCAACCCTGGGACTTGCACCCCTCCTAACATCCTGTCCAGCGGTAGCACTGGACAAAATAGAGCAACTCGCTCTGCTTAGAAGGCTGTTGTAAATAATAACAAACCATTTTTACATCTTCTCATTTTCAAGGATAATAAACTCTACCCCTCAGCTGTCAAAGGCTGCAGTGGAAGCAGCCATTGAGAAAGCCCTTCAAGTCTGGAGTGTGGCGTCGCCCCTGATCTTCACCAAGGTCTCCAAGGGAGATGCAGACATCAATGTTGCTTTTGTCCAAAGAGGTAGGCTCAAAGCAGTCACACAGCTTTGTTTTTCCTGACTAACCTGAGACTTAAGGATTAAACCACAATCATCTTATTTCAGACCATGGTGACAATTCTCCATTTGATGGACCTAATGGGATCCTTGCACATGCCTTTCAACCCGGCCAGGGAATTGGAGGGGATGCTCATTTTGATTCAGAAGAGACATGGACCCAAGACTCCAGAAGTAAGTATTCCAAGGTTATGTTCACATGCAGCTTCTAAATTCACCTTTTCTGCCTTAGAACCAAGGCATGTGTGTACATACACACCACCGAAATGACTGCACTATTGCAAACTCATGAATCAATCATTTGAATTTTGCCACTTGAAAATAAACCCAACTTAGGATTTTAAGAACAACAGAAGTTCATTATTGGCCCCCATTTCCTGTGGCAGTGCCCCCCTCTGTGAGGCTATCACAGAGTAACTGAAACCAAGTAACTAATGAAGAAGAAAAATGTATTTCCTCACTGTTTTAGAGACTGGAAAGGACAAGGTGAAGGTTCTGGCTTCTGGTGAGGTCCTTCCCACTGCACCAGCCGATGGTAGAAGGCAGATGGATGAAGGAAGATGAAAAAAAATGAACTTGAAGCTCTTTTCATGACATCAACCTAAACCCTTCCCATTAGGACCGCCTCCCAACATTGTTGTGTTGGAGATTGTTTCTGACTCTTGACTTCTGAGAGAGAGAAAGTCAAATGACAACAGGCAGGGATCCAAACACTACAAACCAAAGCCACGCCCTGCCTTGTCCCCTGTTTGTGGAAATAAAGGAGGAGGCCACACGGGCTTGGTCAGACAGCTTTTGTGGTAGCTTTCCCTCTGCAAGGCAGAGCTGAGTGGTTGAAACAGAGACCATTTAGCTCCCAAAGCAGGAAACCTTTACTGACAACTGCTGTAAGCCCTGTCCCTCTTTTCTTAATATTCTGAAATTTTATGTTGTTTGAAAAGACTTATTTTTCAAACGTTGGGAAATTTTGAAATAACCAGGTTCATTTGAAAACTTACCCTATTTATAAAGGAGCAGACGCAGTCTTTCTTCCAGTTACATCAAGGTCAGGGCCGCCCTTGTCAGTGAGTAGTGTGCTTCTGTGTGGCTGGGTGCTCTTCTGGAGGCCCCAGCAAGAAGGGCTGGGCTGCCTGAGGCAGGCCACAGGCTATAGTATGGCAGAAGGTACTTTTCAGAAGGCAGTGGAAAGGACACCTCTACCTTGCTTAGCAGCTGTTTCTCTCATTTCCTCAACAAGTGTTGCAAGAGTCTACCTAAGTCCCTGTGCTGGGAGCTGCCTGTGCCCATAGATCAATAGTAACTTCCTACAGGACTCTATTTCCAGAGCCCCTCACCACTAGTTCAGGTGAGTGATCACTGCCTCTCGCCTGTACTTAATGAGCCAGATTCCCTGTACTTAATGGACTCTCCCTCCCTAAGCTCTGCTCCCCTGGCCCAAATCGCTTCCCAGTGTAGCTGCAGGGCTTGTCTTTGGAAAGCCCATACTGGATCATAATACTGCTTTGATTAACAGTACCAGCCTTTACGCAGCCCGTGCCAATTGGACACTGGTACCTTCACTTGGTGCTGAAGGTGATTTTTCTGACTTCACCTTTCTTGGGAAATCTTGTCCTGTCTTCGTATTTCACACACAGCAGCCATCTGCTGCATGACTGTTTTGAGGTCACATCCTGTCCTTTATGTCTCCCCTGCATTTGCTCACAGCCCTCCCTCTTCTTAAATGCCCTTCCCTTGCCTTTCAAAATCTCTATCATGATCCGCACTCTGACTAAAGCTACCTTCTAGTTTAGCTCGCACTGGAAATGAGGCCTTCTTCCAAAGACTCCTGGTAGCCTTGGCATCTCCTCCCTGCCCTCATTCTCTGTTCTGTGCATGCACACTCTCTGCGTGCATCTCTCCTTCTATTTATGCTGCTGGAGAGCAGAACATGCCACAAACTCCCAAAGTCCTTAGGAAAGCACTCTGGGCATTCAAGGATAGTTTTTGAAATTTGTGAAAGGAAGGATATGAGAAGAAAGGAATTATTGGGGCATTGAACAATTTATGAGCAGGAAGCTGAACAAGGGAAGAACACGTGTCATGGCATTACACACGGGTTTAGCCCAAGATCTACTTATTTACTAGTTGTAAGACCAATAAGAAAATATTCAGTCATTAGCTTTAGTATCTGTACTGTAAGAACACTGGAATTAAAACTTCACATACACATTGTGAAAACCAAATATTAACCTGCCATTTACCATATATCCCTGCCTTTTAGATTACAACTTGTTTCTCGTGGCTGCTCATGAATTCGGCCATTCCTTGGGACTCTCTCACTCCACTGATCCTGGTGCCTTGATGTACCCAAACTACGCTTACAGAGAACCCAACACTTACTCGCTCTCTCAGGATGACATCAATGGCATTCAGACCATCTACGGTAAGGTCACCTGGTGAAGACTGTAGACCATGATGGGACTTGGGAATAGGCTTCAGTAAGTCCAGAATGCAAACATCTCTCCTTTGGAACTTCTGTGGATTCCATCCACAGGACATGTGCAAACTGACCTCTGAAAGTCACCAGTAATAAATATAGTATTAGCAAAGCAGGCCTCTGGGGCTGGGCCCTTGACATTTCTTTGCATCTTGGTTTTTAGTGATTAGCTGTCTATCTGCCTTACTGCCTAGAGGACAGCCTTGGTGGCATATCTGTAATACTAGCACTTGGGAGGTTGAGGCAGGAGAATCAGGAGTTTGAAGTCAACTAGGACTACGTAGTGAGACTCTGTCTCAAAAGGGAAAGAAAGAAGGAAGGAAAGGAAGGGAAGGAAGGGAGAGAAGGAGGGAGGGAGGAAGGAAGGAGGAAGGAGAGTTTTGGGATAAAGGAAGGAAGGAAGGGAAGGGAGGGAGGGAGGGAGAGAGGGAGAGGTTTGGGATAAATGTACCACGGCATTCCCCAATTACTATCCCTAAGTGGTGGCTGTTTTCTTTCTCCGTTATTTAATTTAAAATTCTTACTTTACTGTATTTGCATCATTGCCACCTCTCCTCCTCCCTCTAATTCCTCCTGTGTCCCTGGCAGCTCCCTCTTGAATTCATGACCTCTTCTTCCATAACTATT